CGTTTTGAGACTAACAGCCCTTTTGTGTTAAAAGAAATCTGAAAGGTTTCATATTCTAACAGTCGTCCAAAAGGGCTGCTTTAAAGAATTATATGTTTTTTTTTTTTTTTCTTTTTTTTTTTTTTAAGGAGAAAGCGTTTTATAAGATACTAGATGAATATACATTTAGACTATAATCTGTTACTTTAAAGTAGGAACTTCAAGATTATTTTCCCTCAAATGAAAGCTACGTGAGTGAAGCTTGACTTGAATTATAGTCTCAAATAACGTGGAGAAAATAAATGCTGTGCGGAAATGATAACACGAGTTATGATAGCAAATGGTGTGTGTGTGTGGGGCAACGATCTTAAATTAAGTACTGAAGAACCCGACTTACTGGGCTTCAAGTGCCTATTTTAAAGGAACAAACTTTAACATGGTTATGTATCTTCTGTATATAAGAAAAGTGAAAAATTATGCAATGTAATTCTCAAAAAATATTTAATCTCTTTAGTGAGATATATCATGAATTAAATGCACTTTTATAAAAATCAATCAGATTGAAAAGTAAAAAATATTCTTAAGAACGAACTGCATCTATTCCTTTTAAATAGCTTAGTGTGTTAATCAATAACAAGCATATTAAATTTGAAAGATAAATATCTTAAATTTTTCTGAATGGCAACTGATTCCAATCAAATGTGAAACAATGCATTCAAAGTGAATCAATGCAAAACCATTTTTCGAGAATATCTGAAGGTTTGCAGATTTTATATTACACGCAAAGGGGCGGTTTTTTTTTAAAACATTTTGTGTGTTACCTTATTAAATTATTTGTGTTCTTCACACTTAAACGATAAAATTCAATTCAACAACAACATCGTAAAATAATTTTAAAATGAGTATATCTTTAGAATTTCCGTTTCGCGTGTTCTACACAGTTTCGCGTGCTGGAGATAATTTTTCCCCCCCGCCCCATACAGTGTTGCCATTTTTCGCTTTGAAATCGGTGAGTTTCTTAATCAAAAACTCATAAATGCTTTACAAAATATCCAATAGATAATAAAACAAATTCCAAATTCGGGATTCCTGATGCCCATATTCTGGTGGTAATATACGTTATTCAAAATGAGATGGCTCTAGGTACCATTGTTTTATCACAATGCGAAAAACGTTTATATATTTATGCAGATCCTTCATTATTTTATTTCTTTACAACACAGGGTGATAATATTTGGTGGCAACAATTTGAAAAGTGAAATGGACATTTAAAGTGTTCGACGAAAAATGCCAAAACAAAATTATTAGCCCTCCTGTGTTAACACCCTTTGGGCTTTAAAAAGAAAAGGTTTCAGATTTTAATGGTTTCCGAAAAGAGTTTGTTAAGGTTTTTTACACTCTCGCTGAGTTAGCTGTCTACTAATCTATTGCTGCACTCATTCCTGCGAACCCCCTTTTTAAAAAAAAAAAAATCTTTTTAGCTTTATTATGAAACATGATTTCTTTGCACTTTTCTGCATACAGTTAGATAGAAAAGTTACAAAAAAATTAAAAGTAACATAGCAGCATATATTTAGAGTTCCCTGTGCAGTGTTAAGTGGGATATATTTTTCTATTTTTTCCAGTCTTTTCTCAGTTTAGCATATCAGTGTTCCGTTTTTAGTGAGATGGCTATACAAAATTTTTTCTTTGTCTTTTGATTATTAACACTTTGTGCAGTAACTTTATTTATTGAATATAATGTTCTTTGCAATCACGTTACATAAAATTCAATTTAACTAATTTAATTAAATTCAATTAATTCAATTGAAATATTTTAAAACAACATATCTTTATTAGAAATTTTGATAGAGGAGGATCCTGGAGATACAATGAATAACACCCTGTAGATAAAAATGTTTTATTCCATACTGTGTTGCCATTGCTCACTTTGAAATCGTTGATTTTTTGTCAGCCAGAAATTCATTAAAATTTTACTAAATGTAAAATAGATAATGAATTTGAAATTCAAGATTCAGGCTTTTGGATGCACATGAATTCAAAATTTAATGGCCTTAGGTACCATCGTTTTTTCACAATGCGAGAATATGCCCTTCATTATTTAATTTCTTTAAAAATAATACAGTGTGATAATATTTTGTGGCAACAATTTGGGGGAGGGTGGATAAAACACCACCTTTTTTAATGATTAAACGCAAAATCCCATTTCAAGAACTAATAGCCCATTTGTGCTAATGTCCCTTATGGACTAATAAATGTTTAGCCTGTAAGTAAATAAAATGCAGATCATAAAACAGTTTTAAGAAATTTTTCTGTATGAGAAGTTTTATCGCAAAGTTCCAGATATTTTCCTATTTTTACAATGCTCAATTTTATCTCGTAAAAACATTTTATTTTAAAAGATTTTCCTGCTTAAGAAGTTTACACTAATCTTTTGGGAAACTTTTCTATCCTCCAGAAAATAGATTTTTTCTTTATTTTTTTTGGGGGGGGGGGGAAATTATATGATTGTAAGCTTTATTTCTTATTTTGAACTACAAACAGAACTCATGAATCTCCTTTTTTTAGAGGAAAAAAGGCATGTTTTTGGCTTTTTATCTATTATTTTCAGTGCTTCTCCCCCAACTGCCTTTATATTATTTACTATCATCATACTGGGTAGCAAGATCCCTGGGAGAACAACCCATTTAAGGTGGAAAGAAAAGCTTCTAAATTTTGGTTCATTTCTTTTTATTTTTCTTTTGCAATATGTAATATGAAAAGAGGACTTTTAAATACGAAAAAGATAATTAGTTTACCTTTTTAAAACTTTTTTAGATGGTATCATCCATTCCTGATGCATTAGATAATTCTTTAACATAATAGCAGCTCCATGGAAAACATTGTTTAAAACACAAGGTGTCTTAGAACTGATGGTATCTTAGAATTACTTTATTTTATTGTATTTTATTATAATCAATGACATCTTAAAATGGAAGGCATACCATAAATGATTAAAATTAACTTTAATTTCTAATTTTTTATCAGAGGCAAGTAACTTGCTTGCTACATTCTTCTCATTTCTATGCTTCTTTGTTATCAATAAAGCCTCCCAAACAGTGTATAATGGTTAGGGGAACTGACTGGAATGCCCGGACTTAAAAAAATTAAAAATAAAAAATAAATAAAAAAAATTATCTATAAAAGATCTATGAAAGTATTTTGAAGTTCATGAAGTAGAAAGGTAAGCATTATTAACTATGCAGAAGGTGGCATACTGTAGCATATAAATTTTTCATTAATTGATTATGGCAAACTATTTATGCGTTGGTACAGGTTCATAATACATTGAATGCACAAGTCTGATAATAGTCTGATAATAGGTTAATAAAAATAAGTTTTTATCAAAAGAAATATTTCAGAACTCTGGAATTTTTTTACAGGAATATCTGTACAAATGTTCACGTATCACACAGTATAATCAGTAGTTACACTTTAAACTATTAAAAACGTTAAACACAACATTATGCAAAGCGCATCTGAAGAGAAATCTAACTCGGATATCTCAGTTCACGCAGAACAAAACAACTCGCAACAACAATAACTAAGTAACTGAGAGCAGATGCTCTCTCTTTAGCCTTAAAATTCTCTTTGGCTTCTTTGGTCTTAAATAGTTTTCAACTGGCTGCGAGATATTTCTGGTACTTTCTGCTCCTTGAAATTACTGAAAAGCAGTACAAGGGGGGAATTATTGGTTACAGCTGACATAATGGTCAATTACATTTATTCATTTTCAATACATATTGTAGTGATACAGAGTCCGGACCAAATGCCACCAAACGGTCGCCAAATTTAGTTACTTTTGGCAATTTCTCGCCAAATTACTGAGAAACTCATTTACTCAATGTTAAATGCTCTTGCCCCTGTATTCTTACTTTTCCAGCATAGCTTTCTCTTAAAATTTGTCTTGTGCTTCATTACACAGAAAAATAAACTATTTTACTTACAATTATCCTAAAATTACCTATCTAAGTACAAAATACTAAGCAGTATTATTTATATATATTTCATTAATAAGTTCTACACTTGGGTCAGAAATAATTTGTTGAGGACTTTTTAAGGAAAATTGGCTGATATTTATGTTACAAATGTTGAAAAAACATACAAAGACTCATACAGTTAGCTCACTCTATTACCAAGAATTAAATCCAGTATGTTACTGGTATTTCATCAACTTACTGAATTCACGCATGGCAATGGTTTTCAAACTTTGTTGAATTGGCAAACTTGTTAAAGTAAACTTAATATGAAATGTAATTTTTTCGGTGAAAATCTTACTATCCTCTGAAAACAAGCAAACAATAACAAGAACAAACAAACAAACAAAAAACTTAATATGTATCTGTTACATTCTGTGTATTTAAATAAAAAGAAAATAATTACTTGTAAAAACAGATTAGCTTCATACTATTTTAGGTACTTTCTAATTATCCACATTTCTACTGAAAAGTTGCAAACTGCTTGTTGCCTTTTGAGAGGAAAAAATGTTTATATGAGTTCTTTATCTGTTTTAGTGATGCATTTAGAGTCACCTATTTTTCTTTTACATTTTTCTTTTCCCATTCAAAGCATGTACATTTCTTGGATTTTTGTGCTATTCTTCTTCTCTTTATGCAGCAGTCCGTTTTTTTTGGGGTGGGGAGCCCATGAAGAACTGCATGAACTTGCATGCTCACAATCTGAGCATGAAAGTCATAAAAGGAGAATTGCAGTTAATCAGAAAGTAACCTATTTTAGGTGATCATAACTGTAGGAATTAAAAATATGATTTAAGAAATTATTTTAGATGGTTAGTTTTGTGGTTAGTGCAGTATTAAAAATTCTACAAAATTATGATTTTAATTTGTGTAATCCATGGAGGTGCCTGTAACCTGAAAGTTCTACAGAAAACAGTTTGAAAACTATTGGCACATATCATGCTGCATGATTAGTTTTATATTATTTTATGTTCATTATATCTAATTTATATATTTTATTTTCAGTTGAGAATGAGAAACTGTCATCAATGTCTGTAGAAACAAGTGTGCTCAATAAAACTCCACCAAGAGGTATGTTTTATTCATTTCTTTAAAATATATTATTCATACATATCTGTTTATTTATCCCATATCTTTTACTTGTACACTTTGTATAGACACCACGAGGTGCAGAAATGTTTAAGAATTAAACAAAATCATTCTTTTTTCTAAGCATTTGAGTAATGGCAATGAATTAACTTTTCTTCAAAACCAATTTCTTCCTAATAGTTGCATTAGATATTAAAAAACATTTAATTTTTAATTGCATGAACTAAACCTTCAATTATTTTTTTGTGAAACTATCAGGTTCTATGTTCCTCCTTACTTGCTTAGGGAACATTTAACTGTCCTGACTTGGAACAGGGAGCTTACTAAAGCTATGTTAAATAAATTTGGGAAGTAGACAATACACACAGGAAGGGTATACGAAACCCTTTATTTTTCTCTCTTTACAATGATTTCCGGACTTCGGAATACAGAGACCAACCACTTGTGGTCTGAACGTAAGAATATAAAAAAATATAACTAAACTCTAACTAAAACTAACTTTGGATTAATCAAACAAGTGCCTAACTCCAAGATTGGCCGTTAAATTAAAACAAGATGCCGTATGTAGTACAGAGAACTGCTAACACTACGAATACGTTCAAAAAATTATCAAGAGGACTTAAACCTCTGGCCTTGGAAGGCAACCAGCAACCGAGTAAAACTACTATGGTAAGCGGCCTGCTTCTAATAGCTCCTTCCTCTCTCTTGCTTGGCAAAAAACCACAACTTAAGTACTTGGCGTTCGCAAGACAATTTGCATAAATAAGTTAAAGCTTTAATTCTGGCCGGAAGTAGAAAAAAGTAAGAAGTGATAGTAAAGATTTAAAATAAAATAAACGTTAGTAAAACTTAGGATCCTTACATACTTCCCGCCAGAGTTAATTAGTTTGAAACTGAGGTCTAAAACGACCTTGTTGAAAACTTTTAGCTCTAGAATCTAACGCGAGGCCAATCTTTTACAAACATTTCTCACTAGAAACTAGAAAATTAAAAAAAAAAAAAAAAGTTGTTTTTACATTATCAACTCCTTGGACAATTACTTTTCATCTGTACTGCATCTAAACAGGAGTTCTTAGTTGAAATCTGGTTCCTTCCAGAGATCTGGAAGGAAAACTAGTTTAATGAAATGTTACACAATCAAATGGCAAGTAACATGAATATTATATTTCTTTTAAACATTCTTATTTCATTCATGACGTTATTTAATTATCTTCCCGTGCTCTCTGACATGTGTTGTAAAGGAAAACAACAAACACTACGTGTTATGTACAAGTGTTCAACACTACCGCCTGCAATCAAAACACTAACGTGTTAAAATTCAACATAGCAAGACCTCAGAACACACCTTATATTCATCTCTAAACCCTGAGGTACTATTCTGAAAAGTGGCTAACTCTGAAGTGTAGCGTCAGACAGCCTAACTACATTCATTCAACCTTTAACACATATTCACAATAATTTGCTCTTTTTACAGTCACACGAATAAGTTAAAATTTTTGGGCATTACTATTTTCACTTTTAACATATCACAGTATTTCTTAACTTTTAAAATAACAGTTCACATTGTATATAAGGACATATTAACATGCCGTTAATTTTACGCATTTTAAAAAAACATACATTAGTAGTACATTGTTAACTTCTATTCTTTTCCAAGCAAGTGCCAATTCTTCTACATTGAAATTACTACATTTCAAAAGTCTTTCAGACTAAAACTTCTTTCTTGCCAGAATCTTTTAAATAAAATTTTATACAATAATTTTACAATTTTCTTAAGGTACCTTTCTCAAAGATTATCAATGCTTTTTACAATATTCAAGTATTTACACATTCCTATTATACATTAATTTTAGTTTTACTCGCGAGTAATTGAAAAACATAATACCAAAATAGGTAACAACTCATTTCTCGCCTTTTTGGCGATAAAGGTAGACCTCACATGAGGTAAAACTTCTTGAATTCTGCCACTTGCAGTAAGAATGAAAATTAACTTAAGGTTTCAAAGTAACATAAAGTTTTTACTTATCTTTGTGATATTCAGACATCCTTTTTTCTGCCCAGTCCTGGAAGGTAGCGAAGACTACGGTTTGGTTTATCTTCCTTCTTGTGCGGGTTCGCCCTTCAGTTTCCTCCATGAAGCTTTCTTTTTCTTCCAGTTCGGTCACCCTTGAAGACCTTCTTTTTAGCATCTGCTTGTGGTCTCGGCCGTTTGATGGCAGCTGGTCTTGGCGGAACCGGGACAACTCTCTCTCGTTGTTGCTTGGATCTCGTTGCTGGCTGTTCAAATTTTTCTTGTTTCTTTGCATCTGCAGCTGGTCTTCCTTCATCAATTCGTCGACATTTGCTGCGTAGACTCCTATCCGATGGGTAGATCTTCCGTTTTGGAGCCGTGTTATAGTTGCTGTCATTTCTCCTGGCTCTCTTTGCATTAGTCGTACTTCTCCCTTCTTCATTCTGGGGGTGGTCGTGCTCTCTCTTTTCTGGTCGGTGGAACGAACGGCTTCTTTTTCTTGTTACCTTCAGTTTTCCAACGGGGAAAACTTTCTTTTCAATTGCTCCTGTCTACTAATGGCTTGCCCTTGTGATTGTCGTTGTTCCACCTCTGGAGCTTGTGCCTGCCGTGCCGGATCCTGCAAAAGATCTCGAAATATTGGCATTTTATTACGATTATAAAATGGTTTTATCTGGTCAACGTTTGCGGTGAATGTTTCACCATTCCTGGCTTTTAACACCACTACAGCCTGAGTTATTTTTTTCTATGACATATGGTCCTTCAAATCGTGGATAAAATTTGGCAGTTTTATCTTCTGGTGCTGAAGAAAGTGAATGCTTAATTTTTAACACTTCATCTCCTACTTTATAAGTTACTCCCCGTCGTTTCATATCATAATAAAGCTTCTGTTTTCTCTGTGCTACTTCAGTGTTCTTTTTTGCTTCTTTAATTAATTTTTCTATATCGCCCATTTTAAATTCTGGGGCTCTTTGTTGAACATAAAATAATTTATCTAACGGCGTTATAATCTTTCTGCCTAAAAATAACTCAGCAGGAGTTTTGCCCGTCGTATCATGTTTTGCGGTCCTAAGGGCGAAAGCCTAATTCGTTGACATAGTTATCCCAGCTTTTATGAAAATTTTAACATAACTACGGATAATTTTCACTATATTTCTATTGACCCGTTCCGCTATATTTGATTGCGGCCGATACGGGACCATTTTTAAATGACGTATGCCCAGTTTTTGGCACATGTCTTCAAATATATTACTTACAAATTGAGGACCATTATCCGATATAACTTTTAGGGGCGCCCCGTATTTTAAAATATATTTATTTAAAATAGAATCAGTAACTAATTTCGCGGAGGCTCGTTTTAAGGGAACAATTTCGGTCCACTTACTAAAATGATCAACCATAACAAGGAGATAGCGACTTTTATTTAACTGACTTTTTGGGAAAGGGCCCAATAAATCGATGCCAATTATTTCATTTGGAAATTCGGATTTAATACTATTTAGAAACCCGGCCGGGTGGAATTTAATGTAATTAACTGCTTGACATGTTGGGCAGGACTGGACATACGCCCTTGTTAACTTTTGCAGCTCAGGAAAATAAACTGCTTCGCGTACGCGTTGGATGGTTTTTCGAATACCAGCATGAGAAGCTAAAGGGGAGTCGTGTAACTCCTGCAGTATATTTAATCTAAGACTAGCTGGGATAACAGGTCGAAATTCGTTGTTGGAATTCGTAGTTTTTGTATAAAATAATAGACCATCTATTAGTTCGTAATGGGCCGCCCTATTTCTTATCGCCACAATATCTTGGTGGCTAAAATTTTCAGGATTTTTAAATAATCATAAATATTTTTAAATTCAGGATCCTTACCCAGTTCGGTTATTACAGTTTCTCGGGAATGTATCGTACATGCTGTGAGCATTGCCACCTTTACAGTATTACCTTCTTCATCTATTTTTATTCTGGATAGGGCATCTGCTACGATATTTTCCTTTCCGGGGGTGTGCTTGATTACCAGATTATACTCTTGTAACTTGAGTGCCCATCTTATTAACCTTGGGGATAAGTTTTTCCCTGAGTACAATCTAGTTACCGCCGCATGATCAGAATACACTGTTATTGGCGCCCTTCCAAAATAGACTCGGAACTTTTGCACTGCTAACAGAACTGCAAGTGCCTCTCTCTCAGTCGCGGAATAATTTCTTTGTGTTTGATTTAAAGTTCTACTAAAAAATGCCACGGGCTGCTGATTTTGCGAAAGTACCGCTCCTACCGCATAATCCGAAGCATCCGCTGAAATTTCTAAATTCTCATCGTTTTCAGGAAATTTCAAAACAGGGGCTTGCGTTAATGCTTGCTTTAATTTTTCGAAAGCACTATTGGCTTCGGCCATCCACAAGAATCTTGCCTTTTTCCTTTTTAATTTTAACAATGGTTGAGCAATAGCTGCAAAATCTTTTATAAAGGACCTATAATATGAACAAAGTCCTAGAAAAGAAGATAGCTTCTTTGCCGTATTTGGCGGCGGATACTTTTGCACAGCGATTATTTTTTATTCGTCGGTCTCGATTCCTTTCTGAGATATTTTGTAACCTAAGTATTTTAATTCAGGGGCTGCAAATTTGCACTTTTCGACATTAACTTTTAGACCGGCCTCATTTAATAATGAAAACACCTGTCTTAAATCCTGTACATGTTGGTCCAGATTATCACTAGTAATAATGATATCGTCTAAATAGATAAATGTGGACTTTCCAAGAACAGGCCTTAGCACAATGTCCATACATCGCTGAAATGTTGCCGGTGCCCCTGATGAAAGGCCAAACGGCATACGCAAGAAATGCATAAGTGCCAGACTTGGTTATAAAAGCAGTCTTAGGCACATCTTCAGGTCTAACCCCTATTTGAAAATAACCAGTCGTTAAGTCTAAAGTCGTCATGTATTTGGTAGAAGTTATGTTCCTTAAAATTT